TGATAGACTTTTACTCTCAAATCTTTAATCTTTCCAACTGGCTGCTTCCCTGCTATCTGGTGCAGGCTCTCAATCACCTCATTCCTGGACTATTACAGTAGCATTTTATTTGGTCCCCCTCCTCAAGTCTTTCCCATTCCACTCCATTCTCTACTCCGCTGCCAAAATGGTTTGCCTAAACATAGTCCTGACCCTGTCATTTCTCTGCTACCTCCTTGTCCCCATTTTCTGTCCTATAGTGTATTCCAGTGGCTCCCTATTGCTTCCAGGATAAAAATTATCTGTTTATTTAAGACTCCTTTTATCCCAGTCCCTTCCTACATTTCTAGTATTCTTACCCTTTGCTCCCTTTCATACCCTCTAAGATCTAGAAACATTGACCAACTTACTCTTCCTCAAAATATTCTATCTCCCACCTAGATAGAGTCTTTGCATTGGTCTGCATGCTCCCATGTCTGGAATGTATTCTTTCTTTGCCTGCACCTACTGGCCTTCTTGACTTCATTCAAGACACCTCAAATCCCACATTTTGCAGGAAATACTGCTAGTACCTTCCTCTGAGCTTACCTTCCACTTGCACTCTGTATATCTTGTATATGCATAGTTGTTTGAACCCTATTAGAATCTGGGGTCCTTAATGGCAGGGACCACCTTTTTCCCTTTCTTTGTATCCCCACATAGTAAGTGCTTGTTAATTAAGGATTTAGAAGGACATTCCAGGATCTGGCAATGCCTTGGGGCTATGACCTTATCATTGAATTGCATATGCAAATAAATTCTGGTTCCTAGAATTATGGTTGACAGAATGCTGGCTAGCAAAAGCATTATTTTATTTCAAAAATAACCTAAATGACACTACAAATTATGTAAAGCAAGGTGGGAATGCTGATTTAGGGAGAGGGGAAGGTGTTAACTTATATTCTAACTCCATAGATAGCAGGGTCTGATGCCTCTTCATGGTACAGAGGTGATGTGGAGTTTATAAGGGCTATGCCAGTAGAACACTGGCCTGGTGAAGGATAACGTGTTGATTGTCCAAAAATTAGCCTAGATGATTACAGAGACACTCATCAGCAGAGGGCTGGTCATCAAATATTGGACATAGCAACCTAAGAAGGTGATGACCACTGAAGTATGAAGGAGTTGTGATTTGCATTGATGAATCTAACCCAGTGAAACCACAGCTCTTTTTGGAATACCAAAATGTTTGAACTCTATGGTTGAACTATTGTTAACTTACTCAGGTAAACCCTCATGATGCCAAGCTACTAGGATTTTTTAAAAAAATTTTAATTAACAAGTGCTTATTTGTTCTTCCCCCCACTACCATGAACATCCCCCATGAGGAAAAAAGAAGACAAACAAAACCCTTGTAACAAATAATCATAGTCAAGAAATTCCCACATTGGCCATCTCAAAAAATGTAGGTTTTATTCTATTTCATAAATCCATCAACTCTGTTAGGAGGTTGGAAGCATGGTTTACACTGGGAAGAATTGCTAGGGCTCTGAGCAAATTCCTCCAGTTGAAAACATTTCCTTCCTTTTTCAATTTTCAGAGAGCACTTTATCTGGAATTCTCCTTTGCCTACAGCATACCATGGTTTATATCCATCTACCTTGTATTATGTTTATCTGTATACATACAGTATCTAAACTCTAAATCCTTTGGAGGCAAGGACTGTGCCATTAAAAAAAAATCTGGGTAGCACTTAGCAAAGTGCCTTGCACACAGTAGGAGCTTAGTGAATAATTTGTAGAGTTAAATTTAATTGAAGTGTTTTCCAGCTTTGTCAACAAGTCAGGTATAGTACAAGCTCCTGGGCACATAACCTCCTAACCCCACTCAGGAGCTTTTCTACCCCAGCCACTGCCTCCTTCTACTAGGCTTGGGTTAGCCCTCGAAACTCTTGGTTTTGTCAATATTGTGTTCCGAGGAAGTCCTTTCCAATTAATCACAGTTGATGATAGTAGAAGCTAAGAGGGAAGTGAATGAATTGATGAGAAGTATTAATTAATTAAATACTTTGTATGTGCCAAGCATGGGGCTACAAATTGAAAAAGAGAGACAATCACTGCTTTCAAGGAGGTCACATTAATGGGGGCAAAAACACATGGAACAACAGCATTTCCATATGGGCTAGGTGGAATTGCTCTCCAAGGGAAATTGGGATATTGAATAAGTTCCTTCTTTTCTCTACATCTACTGAACTTTGCAACCAGAAAGAAACACATGGGGAATAATAGCAGCATCTTCACAGGGCATGGGGAATGATGGTGAAAGGGTATGTGTGTTTGACAATAGAAGACCAGATCAAAGGAAATTTGAATTGATCTCATGTATGTTGTTACTGTAGTTTTTAGAATGTTTATACTTTTTTTTTAAGGCCTTGGGAAAAATCACCTGAGGAAATTTCCATCTTCTCAGGCTTAAGAATTTTGTAGCTGGAAGGAGTCTTGAGAAGTTTATTTCACCTTCCCCTCCTTTCTCTCCCCCTTTGCCACCCAGGTAGGACTGTTTGAAATCCCATTCTGATATTTCGTCCTTCCCAGTTAGGAATGCCTGGTCATACATCAGGTTGAGTTAAAGGAAGGATGTTTCTGGATTTCAAAGGCAACCCACAAATGAATGATGCTATTTGTTGGTGACTTGAGGCTGCTCCCACTTGGAGTTAGAGAAATTCAGGGAGAGCCATCCCTGAGACAAGAAGGATAAGAACCTGAAAATGAAATGGAGCATTTTTCCAAAAGAAAAGAGAGGCCAGGGAACTCAGTGGAGCCATGCTGAGGTTATTAATGAGCATAGGCTTTGCCAGGGGCTGGTACAAAGGCTAAGGGGCAAAAAAAAAAAAAAAAAGAAAAAGAAAAAGAAAAAAGAAAAAAGGAAAAAGGAGCAGGTGTTCAGTGCCACCAGTATAACCAATGCTAAGCCAAAACCAGGAAGGGAGGAGAGGTTCCAGGAACATAGCCCAGCTACATGGACTACATTCAAGGCACTGCTCCTGGGACAGTCATATTCCACTGCCCTGTGGCTCAGCTCTCTAAGTTTTCTTGTTTCTTCCTTATCCGATCCATTCCCTCATTGGAAAAAATCATTGAACTTTAAAAGGTGGGTTCCCCAGGGTAAGGTGGGTAAGGCCAGACTTTTTCTGCCTATACTTAGGCTCCAGAGAAGCTGCCTTGCCCTGTTCCTCCCCAGCCCAAGGGAGTTGGTAAAGCGAGCAATATGTTTATGGGGCTACATTTAGCAGGCAACCAAGGAGGCCTGGGCATCTCTGCTATGCAACACCCAAACACCCACATGCTGGTGTCTATCAGGATTCCTCCTCATGCCCCTGAACTATCTGTCTTGAGAATATGTGTTCCTATGAAATTCCTGAGTCTTAAATGTATTCAGTAGGAGTCAGAGAAGGCAGAGGTTTCTTGAAGTAAATGAGGTTGGAGGTGAAAATGGGAGGATAAGATTTTAACTTTTTTTTTTCCAAACATGGTACTCTGAGAGACTTGGCATTCTATATTGACATCTTATATAGCTCAAAGGCTCTGTTTTCTTTTTTTCTTTCTTTCTTTCTTTCCTTCTTTCTTTCTTTCTTTCTTTCTTTCTTTCTTTCTTTTTCTTTCTTTCTTTCTTTCTTTCTTTCTTTCTTTCTTTTCTTTCCTTTCTTTCTCTCTCTCTCTCTCCTTTCTCTCTCTCTCTCTCTCTCTTCTCTCTCTCTCTCTCTCTCTCTCTCTCTCTCTCTCTCTCTCTCTCTCTTTCTTTTCTTTCTTTCTTCTCTGGGCTCTGTTTCTAGGACTGATTCCTAAACTCCAAACGCCAGTGATCAATTTGTGAAAGCAGATGTTGCTCTTGACCAGTCTCAGGAATGAAGATGCACCTAGGCCACATTGCAGTTTTGGAGTGAAATTGCAGGAATATGGAATCTTTGAATCTTAGGGGTCAAAGGGCCCTATAGAGGTCATTTAGTATGACCTCCAATTTGCAGTGGGGGAAACTGAGGCCCAGAGGGGTTTGGTAATTTGTTCAAGATTACTCAGGTGCTAGGTAAGTAGAGCTGGAGTTTGAATCCAGGTCTTCTGATTTCAAATCCAGTCATCTTTCCTGCCTCCCATCCCACTTGCCTCCCAGGCCTCTGGAGTCATTTACAGTTCTTTGGTCACTTAACCTCTATCTTAGTTCCCTCCATAGTAAAGTGGTGCTAATAATAGCACCTGTCTCTCCACCCCCCCAAGTGTTATGAGGATCAAATGAGAAATTTGTGAAGCATTTAACACCATGCCTAACACATAGTAGGTTCTTAATAAATGCTTATTTCCTTAATTTGTGATTTAGGTAGTAGGACATAGCTGAGTGGTATAAATTAAAAACAAATAAACAACTTGTTGAATTTGAAACCACTGGAACTTTGATTTCTTTTGGCTCTCATATCCTATTGTTCTGTGATTCTAAGGCAGGGGTTCTTAACCTGGGTTCCATGAACTTGTTTTTTAAAAAAAATTTTTTTGCTGTCTTTTAATAAAATTGGTTTCTTTTGTAATCTACATATTTTATTTTATGATTTTGAAAAATCATTATTCTGAGAAGGGATCTATAGACTGTCAAAGGGGATTCATGACACAAATGAAAGTTAAGAATCCCTGGTTTGGATCTGGTATAGCAGTTTCAGATGCAAAGCCACTGAGGACTGAAAATCTCTGCTCTTTACTCTTTTGCTTTCCAGTCCTCTGTCCTGACCATCCTTTTTTTCTGAGCTAATAACCTCTGCCTTAGGAAGACAAAAATAACTACAGACAAATGCACTATGTATACTTGGTAGCCATGGCAGGCAGCACCATCATCACAAACAGTTGCAGTCAAGATCTAAGGGCTGGAGTAGACAAGCAATTTTCTAGAGAGCTGAGAAACCCAGACATCATTGGTGTATCACCCGCCATTTTCCACATGCAACTTTTTGGAGGGGCAGGGTTGAGGTGGGAAAGAAAGCAAGGAAACAGACACATTACCCCCTGGCAGGTTGATAGGTCCACAGCTCTTTTCATCGCTGCTGCTCACGTAGATCCGTTTGGTGCAGAGCCTCCAGAGACCAAAGTGGGCTATCTCGCAGGTGGCATTGTATTTTTCCACCTTGGGGCTCAGAACCGCCCAGTAATCTGTCACCACTGCGGCCATCAATAAGCAGACGCCCACCAGGATGATGCTGAAAGTCAACCGGACTTTCAGTGCCTTGGCTTCAGTCATGACGACTGAAAGTGGGGTTCGGCAGGCTGAACTCAGGAGAGCTGCTTCCCTCCTGTCCAAATGGCTTACAGCTGGCTGAGAGTGGGCCGAGGCGGCTGTTGGTGAGGGGTGACAGCTGCGCCAGGCAGGGGTGTGGGGTGTAGGAGTGGTGTCTTAGCCTAAGCACTTTCAAATGTCAGCCCCAAGGAGCAAAAGCAGGCCAGCCAGGGGACTGGAGCATTTAGGCTGGGCTGCAAAGCACAGCTGCTAAGTCCTGTCAGGGCAGTGAGAAAGGCTTCTATTAATGCACCCATCGAGTGAATTCAGGGTAGGCTGCTGCTCAGGTTACAGCATCATGCTTCCCAAGTTGGATCTGGAAGTCCTCATGGCTCCCTGAGGGGAGGGAAACTGACTCTGAGCGATGAACCTCACCCTTCTCACTGGAAAGCCTTAAGGCACAGTCATTACTGAATAGCTGAGTGGGGTGGGGAAGGAAGTCATCTCAAATATTGTGTGAGTAGTTGGGGAGGGATGTCAGATGGTTACTTGAGAGTCTGACTGCTAAGAGATGGGAAAGGAAGATGATATTTGACTGAGGATAATGGATAAAAAAACTTACCCAGATGGAGCAAGGGAAGGGATGGTCTTTTTGGATTCTAAGTGTGCTTCATTGCTCTGTCTCTCTATTGCTGGGGTTAAAGGTGGTACAGAGATATGAGAAAGATTGACCTCATCCTGCAGAAGTCTGAAAGCAAGATGGCTTTGGAATTCTGCCTAAAGTAACCCAGGGTCTTTGGGATGAACCAAAAGCTAGCACTCTCCTAGTTTATGTTGGATTTGGGGCCAAAATGTGGCACTTCATTGAACGGCTAACAAAAGGAGGTTTATTTTTCCCTAACACCGTAAAGATAGGCAACATGGAAACAGTAGCATTTAACTTTTATAGATCTGGAACCCCTTCATTTCTATATGGAATTTTATATGGTTGGCAGGAGACAGTTTGGTGTTTTTCATGGCCTTCAGACATCCGTCGACTCCAAGGGGCCCTGACTCTTTGTGAGTGGGACTTATGCCCTCAGACGAATCTGTATCAAAGCAGGGGCAAACAGGTCCCCAGGACAGCTTTGTTGCCTTTTAGGGAAAACTGATCTCTGTTTGAGGAAAAAGAGGGAACTCTGGTTGTCTACTACCACTACCACTACCACTGCTACTACTGCTACAATAATAATAATATCTAACATTTATTTAGCACAAAGCACATTACAACTACTGTCTCATTTGAACCTCACAATAACCTTGAGAGGCAAGTACTATTATTCTTTTTTCTTTTTTGCTTTTAGACAAATACTGGAACTTAAATACATAATAAGAAAAGAAAAAGAAACATTATAAACCTAAATGTTAAACTTAAATATAAAATAAGGGGAAAAAAAACCCATGTCTTGTACACAGCAGAATGTAGGAGAGGATTCAGAATATATAACAATAACTTTCCATTTCAAGAAAGCCCATATATTAAATACTGAGTGTTATGTTGAACACTGTCCATCTTTTCTTTGCTTCCTTGTAGATTTTCTTTTGTTCTCTGCTGTGCACTTTTTACTTTGGTCTTTTTTCTCCCTTCCTCCCCCATTTCCACACCACCAGGCTACAATTAAGAGTGAATATATTTATATATAGATATTGATATGTACCTACACTACATATATACACGTACGTACATATATACATATATACATACATACATAAGCGTATACTTACCCTCAGAGAGTCTACTCCTTTATGTTTTTGCATATCTATTTTTTTCCTATTTGTCCTAACTCCTCTACTTTATTTCTACCTGCTATCTTGCCCTCCTATTACTTAACCTACACCCCTCCAGAGATCCCTCCCTTATCTTCCCATTCTTATAAATCTAAATACCCTATTATATGCCCCTTTGACCTACTGCTTTTCTTCTACCCACTACCTTGTCCTCCTATTACTTAACCTACTGCCCTACGACAATCCCTCCCTTACCCTCCTTTTCCCATAAATCAAAACACCCTTTTGTACACCCCTTTGACCTGTTCCCTCACCTTCTTCTCTAAAGATCTTTTTTTATCTGCTACCCCTTCCCTATCCCTCTAGAGTTTTATTTCTTTTTAAATTTAGAAGACTTTTATACTCTTCTAGGTATAGATGTATTTTTCTCTCTTGAATCCATTCCCGATAAAAGTATGTTTCCAGAATTAACAGCCACTTTTCCCCATGTAATTCCTCTTGCATAAGATAATTATCCTTTTAAGCTGTTCTTGAATGATTTTACTTTCTGAAGTAAATCTTTCTTATAAGCTACTTAATTACTAATAATCTTAGACATAGGTTTTACATTTTACATACATAAAAGGTAAACAGTCTGTCCTTATTGAGTTCCTTGTAATTGGTCATTGGTATGTACCTTATATTTCTCTTGGCTCTTATATGTCAAATCAATCTGCTATTAAGTTCAGATTTTTTTTTCCAATAAAGTCCTGAAAGTCTGACAATTCATTAAATATCCATTTTTTTAAATTCAGGATTATGCTTAACTTTGCTGGGTATGATATTTTCAGCCAGAAGCCCAGTTCTTTTACTCTTTGATATATAGTGTCCCAAGACCTGTGATCTTTTAGTGTTGCCACTGCTAGGTCTTGTGTGATTCTAATTGTGGTACCATGTATGTAAATTGTTTTGTTCTTGTTGCTCATAATGTTTTGACCTTGATCTAGGGGTTTTGGAATTTGACTATAATATTCCTGTGGATTTTCCTCGTGGGATCTCTTTCAGGTGGTGATCAGTGGACTTTTTTCTATTTCTACTTTCCCTTCTTATTCTAATGCTTTAGGACAATTTTCTTTAATTATTTCTTGTTTTACTGTATCAGGATTCTTTTTTTTGATCATAACTTTCAAGCAGTCTGATTATTCTTATGTTTTCTCTTCTTGATCTCTTCTCTAGATCAGTTGTTTTTCTTATGAGATGTTTCACTTTCTCTTCTATTTTTTCATTCTTCATATATACGTATTTTAAATTTCTTGATCTCTTATAACTTTGCTAGCTTCCCCTTGCCCAATTCTGATTTTCAAGGAATCATTTTCTTCTTTAAGATTCTGCATCTCCTTTTCTAATTGGTTGACTTTCTTTTCATAATCTTCTTGTTTTTCTTGGATTATTCTTATTTTTCTTTTTAGTTTTTCCTCAGTCTCTCTTATTTGATTTTAAAAGTATTTTTTAAGTTCTTCAATGAATTATTTTTGGGCAGGCGACCATTTGATGTTATTCTTTGGATTAGAAGAGGGTTTCTTTACTTCCGTATCCTCCTCTGAAGATGAATCGCAGTCTTCTCTATTCCTGTAGTAGCTTTCTGTGGTTGGGTTTTTTCTGCTTTGCATGTGCACTTTTTTGGTAATAGTTTAGTTTTATAATCACCTCTACTCCTGGCATATGAGGGATGGTGCCTCTGACCTCAGATCCTCCTCAGTTTTCCCCTTTGACCTTGAACTCAAATGGAGACCGGCAGCCTCCTATAAGTGCCCAGAGCCAGTGGCTTCTGCAGTGCCTGGGTATGTGCTGGTTTCTTCTTTCCCCTACCATGTCTCCACAGCAGAGCTGGGTCTGGCATTCCTTGTTAGCAGAGGTTCCCACAATCTTCCCCAGCTCAGATACCAAACTCCCTTCAGTACTCCAGGAGTAAAAGTTCCTGTGGCTGGAGCTGAGGCATCTCCCAACCCAGCTAACCCCAGGGCTAGCCGCTTGTTGTTTAAGCTGTTCCTAGCCTAGAGGTGTTTACTCTTTTACTTTTTTTTTTTTTAGCGAGGCAATTGGGGTTAAGTGACTTGCCTAGAGTCACACAGCTTGTGAGTGTTATGTGTCTGAGGCAGGATTTGAACTCAGGTCCTTCTGACTCTGGGGCCGGTGCTCTATCCACTGCTCCACCTAGCTGCCCCCACAGAGACAAAAGCTTGTCCTGGGATTTTTCTTCAGATTTTTCTTTGATTGTTTCAGGAGGACTCCTGTTCTACCCCTACTCTTATTTATTTTCACTGCTCTATGTTTGCCTTGAGGTGCTCTTCTTTTGTGGAGGAAAATCTTGAGAGCTTGAAATTTTCTGACCTACTCCACTATCTTTCCAGAATCCTCTTGCAAGTGCTGTTATTTATCCTCATTTTGCAGATGGGAGAAGCTGAGCTAGACAGAGGTGAAGTCGTTTGCTTAGGGTCACGCAGCTAGAAGGTATTTCGGGGTGGGGAACCTGCAACCTGCAGGCCATATATGGCCCTGTAGGTCCTTGGGTGTGACCTTTTGACTGAGTCCAAGTTTTACAGAAGAAATCCTTTTATTAAGGGGATTTGTTCTGTGAAGTTAGAGGATAGTTAGAGTTCTAACAGTCAGAGGATAGATTTGAACCCAGGTCTTCCTGACTCTAGGTCCATGGTATATTAACTGTGCCACCTAGCTGCAGAGCTGTTATGTGAATTTTGCACCTGTGACAAAGTGGGAGGAAAAGAGGATGGATGGTTTAGGGACTGGGGAGAAGTGCATCCTGGAATACTCAAGATTTCTACCCTGTTAAAGGACTGGCCACTGAATGAAAGAAGGTAGGGCAGGGTAGGCTGGCAAGGCCATAGTCTCTGTGGGTAAGGCCAGTTTGGGAGATGCACACAGTGCTTTCAGTACCTTCTAAATGTTGGCATCCTTGGAAAAGCCCTGATCACCCCATCCTAGTTACTGCCCTAATCTCAAGGAGCTTGCACTCCAATAGGAGAAGATAATACATAAAGAGGAGCTAGAGTTGGAAAGGGCTTTGGCAGTGCATTGGTGCCCAGATAAGGTGAAGATTCATTGATCGGAGTCCAGGGTCTCAGGTACAGAGTCCAAGTTCTGGCAGGAGGAGAAGGAGGGCTAGAGTGCAGGTGATGTGGTTTGGAAACAGCCAAATAGACGCTGCTACTGGGATAATAATAATTAGATAAAGCTAATAATAATAATAATAATGGGAACAGCTAGGTAGCACAATGGATAGAGTGCTGGACCTGGAGTGGGGAAGACCTGAATTCAAACCTGGCCTCAGACACTAGCTGTGTGATCCTGGGCAAGTCACTTAACCCTGTTTGCCTCAGTTTCCTCATTTGTAAAATGAGCTAGAGAAGGAAATGGCAAACCCCTCCAGTATCTTTGCCAAGAAAACCCC